TTTATATATGTATTAAATGTCTTTGAAACATCCATTGAAAATCTAACTTTGCATTACTTTTTTTGGAAGAGTATATATTTAGAAAATTTTCGGCTGATTAGATTAACTAAAATTGAATACAATTTTGACGTTCGTAAAATGTGGATTGGCGTCTTAAAATTCTACAAGATTGTAAAAGGAGTAGTAACTTATCAAACTGTCTCAGTAGTAACGAGAAGACAAGATAAACCCACTGACAAAAGGAAAAACTACACAAACATTGCAAGAAGCAATTCAAGTGAATGGATCTGCGGTGTACAGTCTCAGGCCGGTAATAAAACAGGTTTCACCCTATTTAAAGGGGCAAAGTCTCCAACTCAATATTATATATCCATAACATTCAAAATCAAAAACACGAATTAGAATTCAATATTGTTCCATTTCAATCAATTTCATATTGTTATCTGGCCGTGAACCACACCCTACTTCAATAGAAAAAGCAAAATATGGCGGTCGACTGCCGTAAACCGGACTATTTATTATTTACCCTTCTAGAACACTAGAACATCCAGTAATATCACCAGCTTCAGTGCAGTTGGTACCATCCGCGTACAATTCACAAGACAAAGATGGTGAGAAATACAAAAATCGTCTACATTCTGGTTCATCTTTTAGCGACAAGGCAATCAAGACTTGTTCAAGGCAAGTTTCGTCTGAAGTTGCAAACGGACATTTTCATAATAAATGTATTTTTATTTGACCTTTTTTCTTTCTTTCTTTCTTGTTTGTTTGATATTTCTTTATTATAAGCTCATATAATATGATATATATGCACTTTGTAAATATTATTACTGTGTAGTTGCTAGTTTTATAGAGTAGGAGGGACATGTTGAAAATTAGAACTCATGTACTAAATATGTTCCTTCAGTCGAGTGAGATATTTTACTTGGTATATCCAACCATATAGTCGAGTGTGATATTTTACTTGGTATATCCAACCATATAGTCGAGTATAATATTTTTTGTGGTATACCCTACCATATAGTCGAGTATGATATTTTGTATGGTATATCCTACAGTCAAGTATGATAGTGGTCGTGGTAAAACTGGTGACGGGTCTTTGTCCGCCTCTGTTAAAGTGACCTGCCCATGTGAACTTTTTGAACGTGCGTTTACACGGTGATCATGGTAGAAAAGAATTATAAGAAGAATTTGTTTTGGCAAATTTTTATTTTGAAAAGAAATTTAATCTCCTTACATCGATTTTTATAACCCTTCATTCTATTTTCATTTTTACTTCAGAGCTATGTCCCTACACATCTGTAAGGAAATGTGTTTTGTCTCTGGACAACACAAAAGACTCTAAAATTACACTAATTCTTCATTTATTGAACAACGGGCGGGGGGGGGGGGGTGATGAAACGGTCTCGGTCTGTCATTGAGTCAAGTAACGTGGTTTCGATTCACCGCCTGTATGTGACAATAAGTAGGGTCTCCTGTCCAACCTCTTGGGGTTTTCCAGGTCCAATAAAATTGAACCATATGATAGTGCCGAAATGGCTAAGATTTTGTTTGGTGGATGCTAAACTCCATTGCTCACCTTTAGGACCAATATCAATGTGCTTACTGAGGATTTATTACACTTTTTATTTCACCCATCGATTAATTAGAATATAATAGTCAGGGATGAACAGCTCAGTATAAGAAGATTTATGCTTAGACATGGTCATTGTTGAGTTTTTATTTATTAATCCTATTATCTATAATTCCGAGATTATATATATACAATTAATTATATTTGTGTAACAAATTAAGGGTGTTGGTTCAATAAGCTTAGCCCGCTTCTCTTCAGTTCTTCATATGTTTTACTCTATTTATTCAGTAAACTAAACATTTGCATAATATCAAAATATAAAACATATATTTTAATTGAATCTGAAAATAAACAAGTCGGGCCGAAGATAAATCATACTCCCGTAAGATATTTGTTTTACACAACATAAATGCATTGGTTTAACAAAAATCATAATCTTAAGCTATATAAAAGTTTGTCCTCGCGCATTTCGTAACTAATATTTGGTTCAATTTATTTCAATAATTCGCGTTAGCAGTTGGGCACCAACGGAGACAACCAACGAGGTTGGGCAGGAAATCCTACTCCTTGTTACGATCAGGTTGGGCAGGAAATCCTACTCCTTGTTACGATCAGGTTGGGCAGGAAATCCTACTCCTTGTTACGATCAGGTTGGGCAGGAAATCCTACTCCTTGTTACGATCAAGCGTGGAAATGGAATCACTTGATTTAATGACAGACCTTGCATCACGCTGTAATCAATGAGTTAGATGATGATGTCATATGTTTTCCCCGGTGTTTACATGTCACACATTCAAATTTAGTTCATCGATAAACGTCCTGAAGCGTCATACATTTTTGCGGTTAGAAATTGGGAGAGATGATCATTAGTTTACTAGTCCGCGGGTTAAAGTTAGGTCTGGATCGAGGTGTTTTGATTGTTGGCCTTGACCTTTGTATATCAGGCTGGTTTTTCTGATACCCATATGGAGAGTCCAAGGGAAGAACGATCTAATTCACATTTTTGTCTTTTCGCATAAAAGGCAAAACAGACTTTTGGACGAGAATGTTTGACGCGAACAGACCAACGAGTGGGTTTATTTACAACTTTAAAATGATGTTTAATACGAATCATAATTACCAGTACAACTGACTTCAACTATTCAGGCAAATTAAGGTTCAATAAAGGGTACGATGAACTGGGGTTTGTTGAAAAAGTGACTTAGATAGTTCTTCCCCGGGGCTATTCATATGTTGTACAGTGTTGGACTAGCGATGACATAGATAATTGGCGTGTAGCGTCTCGTCGATACAAACTAGTTCATTTCGGTACTTACATATTGTTAAATTTTTATTTCAATAATTCGCTTCCGCGTAGGGGTTTTAGCGTTGGGAGAAAACTGGAAGACCAGGAGATATCCCATGGGGTTGGGCAGGCGATCCTACTCCTTGTCACGTAGAAGCGGGGAATCGAAACCACGCCACTTGACTCAATGACAGACCTTATGATCTAATACGCTCGCGGTAACCATTTGGCGACCCCCCCCCCCCCACCCTTAAAATCAAAAGACCGATCCTCCCAACTCGACTTTATTGATAATGGATTTTTCAACGATTTTTGTTTCTCTTCTTTTTTTGTTTTTGCCTATAAACAATACTTTATACAGGATATCGGGATGCGATTGAAATATCAGACATTTTGAATATTGATTTACGTTTTAAACGATTTTTGTTTCCTCTTCTCCTTTGTTTGTGCATATAAACAATATATTATTCAGCAGATTGGCCTGCAAATTGATTTTTTTTAAAAATGAAATTGAACGTCCAACTTTCTGCACCGACTGAGCTAGTACCGAGTTAAAAGTATAAATTGGACTGAAATTCACGAATGAATCGTCTCTTCTCCTAGACTGCCCCACAGATTGTGGCTTGGATTGATGACACAAGAAACAGTAGACTAATACTTTCTCATTGAGTCAACTCGTGTGGTTTCGATTCCCCGGTTGTACGTGACAAGGGGTAGGGTCGCCTGTCCAACCTCGTGGGTTTTCTCGGCGTCCTCCCGTTTCCTCCCACTGCTAAAGACCCCTACGCGCGAACGAATTATTGAAATAAAATTGAACCATATATCTTAGTCCCGAAATGACCTATGTTTGTGTTTTGAGTGGACGTTAAACCATATCTCTCTCTCCGCTTTAATTCTCGGGTCTATAATGTGATACACTAAAGTGCGCCAGTCCGTGTTCCACGTGTTTCATTTCATCAATACTTTGACAAATGCGATTATACTTGTGTATTTAACGGGTCAATATTGTCCCCGGTGATCTTTCTGGTAGAATATTTCACTATTGATTGCAGATAGCAAAAGAATCTGGTTTCCAAATAATAACACTGTCCACAAATTAACCAATTTTTATTTGGTTGGTATACATATTTATCCAGGCCTGGTTATTGTGGTGCAGTCGCATAAATAACGCTAATAAAGATTTGTATTCGTTTGTACTATGTGTACAAACATGCACTAACCGCCGCGCTAGTAACTCTACTTGTTACATCTGGTCCCAGAATCCTTTCTATCTAAAATCCAAGCAAAAACATCATTGTTTTAAACCGCTGGGTGGGTGACTCTGGGATGGACCTTGAACCTCGAGGTTATCTGTCCTTTACTCTAAGCACAGATGACTGTCGAGCACAAGATAAAATATGTTCACCAGGTGTCGCCGCTCATTTGGGGACTTCTCGTGGATAGCAAATTTATGCTTAATTGGTATAGGATTTGGGTGTGGCTTTCTTTAAATACGTCGTTAGATCTTTCTTATTTACTTTCACCATATAAGAACCGTACCTTACTTCAGGTTCTGTCGAAACCTCTTCTCGTTTTTAAAATATTGTTATTGATATATTTTAATCTAGAAATGTGGAGCAATATTTAATGTTTCCTGCTATATAACCTCCTGTTTCTTTTCTGTTAACTTCAGCCGGTATTCATCTGATGACTTCTATCGGTAAAGTACATGGATAATACATATAATGGTGGGTAGGTCATACGCTGGTGGATATCCACGCCCAAATGGTGAAATGTTATAGCTTTTGAACAACACGACTGTTTTATTTGCTGATTTAATGAAGTGGATTCCAATAGGAATGCTCTCGGCCAAAACCGGGATCGAATCCGTTATTATACCAGTGGCATACTCAGTGGGCCACTTCCAACTATTAACCTAATATTGAATAGCCCGTGGCCCAAACAAAATGGTGTTCTCTAAATGGACAGATTGGCATTTTAACTCGTTTCTCCATCCTTTGTTACACATACATTTGCGATTTGAACTGCCCATCCAACCCCTTTCCCCACCCTCACCTCCTTAGCCGATGCCAGTAGCAAACAAAATAGCAATAGCAACAATCTCAAAACCATCGCTAAGAAAGACAAAACAAACCACATGAATGTGTTGATATGTTTCAATTTAATCTACCGATAGACAAGAGAACAAACAGAATCGTGAAGAACAATGATAACATAATATATAATAGAACACTGATTTAAGACGGTTATTATTTGTTTACTCCAAACTAACATCTGATCAATTTACACCACAGTAAAACATAAAACCAGCTAAACCTCATTGATTTGAGTTGATCTGGTATGTTGTTTATATTGGTAGTAGGATATAATCTATTCGATTAAATTGTTTTGAAACATAACGCGAAAGCCGATTTATTTACTCATTTAAGTTAAACTTTCGCCAATGCGAATGAAATACATATCAGATATACTTAAATCGACACTTATATTTCATTTTAGCATATTCAAGTCATTTAAGTTCATATTTCAATTATATGCAAATCGGAACCAAAAGAGATCTGATGTCTTGTTTCAATTAGTGGTAGGATAAAATCGATTTGATTAAATTGTTGTTTCGAAATATAATACTGATATATGTTATTAATGCCTTTTGTAGTGTAAACCGCCCCCTAAATTTTCAAAGGCTTATGGCGTATTTCGGGTGTGGTTGTCAGCTAAGTTTTTACTTTACAATTAAAACTCCGAAAATCAAACCGTGAATCATAATAATATGGACCCTCCTCAAGAAGAGTAAGTTGGGACTGCCGATGCCCTACTTGGGAAGTGATATCAGGTGTTCCAGAGACTTCTAAATCTACATTCATGATAACCTACGCATACATACACACTATAGCGTATATAACATAATATATCAGACCTAATTACAATATTTTATATATTATGATAATCAATGTACAATAATTTAGTCGTTAATTGATCTTGGTTTTCCGATGTTCATACCAGCTTGACTGGCCCCTTCATTAGAACCCATTTGTAAACTATGTATATATTTCCCAGCTTCCATTTGTTCCTGAGTAAACTCTCTCTTGTGTGCTTCGGCCATCTTTGGTCCCAGTACTGGTCCTGTCCAATCAGGTTTCGTCTGGGCCTACAAAATAGATCACACAGAGTATGATTTAATGTGTGAATCATGCAGGTCATAGTTCTCATTGCATGAGTCGAACTACAATTGGAATCGACTTAGGTTCATTGATTTCTGGCTTCCATCTTTCTGATGCAAAACAAGAAATACAAACCAGTTCATTTTCTGCTTCGAAACAGTAGTTGCATTAACGCGGTACTTTTTTTAGACTTTAGATAGATTGGGGGGGGGGGGCTAAATTGTTAACGCATGCGCGTTGCATTAGAAGGTTTTTCATTGGGTCAAGTGGCGTTGTTTCGATTCCCCGCTTGTACGTGACAAAGGGTAGACTCGCCTGTTCAACCTCTGTTTAAGAGTTTTGAAATATACAGTATGTAAACCATTTGGCTTGTTTTGAATTTATTGATTCGATTTGAATTTTTTATTTTATTTTATTTTTATTATTGATTCGATTTGTAATTAATTTGTATTGGAATTATTATTGACAGAATTGTCATGAACAACAATGGGTTGGAACCATACTGTTGTTGGTTATCCTCGAGGGGAGGTTTGAAAAACCAGAAACCAGACAATATTAATAAGCAAATAACAAGCATGTCCATTGATTACATACGAAAGGCTTGCAAAAACAGGAAATCGGACAATATGAATAATCTTATAAAAAGCACGCCCATTGAATAAATACATAATCAGCTAAAAAGCACGTCCACTGGTGACATACGGAAGGCTTGCAAAACAGGAAATCGGACAATATTAATAATCAAATAACACACACGTCCATTGATTACATACGAAAGTGCGAGCATACTTGTTTATTTCAGAATCACCATAGAAAATCGTAACCGGATGTCCATTATTTCACTTCCGAGTTAACATGTTAACTGTATTTGCAAATTCCGACTATCCGCGCATAATTTAAAAATAGAAGTAGGCCGATACAATAAAATAGTACGTAATGAAAGAAAATGTACACTATATAACCAGAACGATAAAGAAGATGAATTTCATTTTACTTTAAGCTGTCCTTGTTATAATGAATTGCGTCATCAATTCATCAAACCATACTTTTTACGAAAACCTAATATATTTAAATTAATTCAATTATTATCATCCGAATTAAGGAACTTGTCCAAATTTCTCATTTCTGTCGATAAGAAAAGAACCACTCGATTAAACAATAATTAAATTTGCCACAGCACCTGATGCAAACAATAGGATAATAAACACCATTTCATTTTAACATTATTGAAAGTTGAACTACGAATATTAAAGCAACGAAATTAGTAACACTTAATAATATTTTGTTCTGGCAAGAGCAGTTACTGTAGCATGTTGTTTTGTTGACGTTATACCACAGTACTTTTATATCCGAATCACCGAGTCTCATAATGCGGTTTTGAAAATTGTTGCCCTGACACGTGTCCACGTGTGTGTTACTAGAGACTTTTGGCAAGTGGAATTTTTCCCATCCGTATCACGTATCAGTATCGTCACGTGGTACGTTGCCTCAATGTAGTTTTAGAGTTTTGGCATATTTTCGCGCCGCGTACGTATAGGTAGCTGAGCTGAGCTTAATTCTATTACAGCATGATGGCAGTTCTTTACCAAGATCAATATCAGTAAAAGTAAAGTAAAAAAAAACTTATATGATAGTGTTTCCACGTTGTGAAACAACCATTGGCCCAATACTTCGCACCAAATTTGATAAAAAATAAATCACTCTAACATTTGTTATAAAGTAAAACTGCTAACTAATGAAAGAATAAACGGACAATCGATAGGGTACCCATGATTTACACTTAATTTGAAATATGATTAAAATCGATAGGGTTCCTCGTCTTATGGCCCAAATACTTCACACCAAATATGAAAACGCCAAGGAGCGCTGCAAATCAATAAGGTTCATTGTTCAGCCGAAACTATGCAGGAACACTGAATATCAAAAATCCTTTTAAAAAAAGGTTTTCAAAGAATGGAGAGTATAACTCCGGGACGGAAGATCGCTAACCATTGAATATCAATAAAGTTCATGACCCCAAAGCTTCACACAAAATTTTAAAAGTGAAGCCTTTATGGCGTGAACAAGGCTTTCAGGGAGCGGGCGCGGAAGGGGGTATATTAAAGAACAGAAGGTCACAGAATGCTGAATATCGATAGGGTTCGTCCTCTCATCGTCACATATTTGAAAGAAATACGGACAAAGAGGGCAACTCTCGAACAGACGTTTGCGGAGTTCTGAAATCGAAAGGTCCTAGTGCTCACACCACGTTTCAAAAACAAAATCAGTTAGAAACTGTAGCCTCTATTGCGTTAACAAGTTTTTCGGATAAGGGGGATAACTCCAGAACGATAAGGTGCGCCAGAAGCGACAGGGACCGTCCTCTCGTGGCCCCAATGCTTTACACTAAATTTGAAACAAATATATCAAAAACTGTAGGCTCTACCGTGCTATTAAGGTTTTCGGGGAAGTGTGTGTATGTGGCGTGAGGGGTGTGGGGTAAACGCCGAAACGACAGGTTGTGGGGCGATCTCTAGAAAATTTACGCAGGATGGCAAGATCTCGAGAACATTAACTCGATTTCTCCAGATCGTTTACACAGGATGGGAGATTCTCGAGAATATTATTAGGGGATTTCAAGAACATTAAATTGAGATCTCGAGAAAGTATCACAGGATCGCAGGATCTCGAGGTCTTCTACAAACTTTTGCATGACCCCTATACGCTTCCGTATGACTGGTTATAATGTAATTAAACTCAACTGAATGAAAATAATTGAAGATAATTTACATAAATTAAAGAGACATTCTACGTAATTCTGTGATTTTTTCTTATTTTTTATGTGGTTTAACGTCCTACTTTTTGTTCTTTCATTATGCGAGTAAGGTTGCTTTTCCGTAGTTTGCCATGCGTTTGTGAACTATATGACAGCTTTCAGCGGCTGTAAACAAATCTGTACGTCTGCGATAAAGGGAGATAACGCGCCTAAACGTTTGGGAATTTCAGACAAACCTAACGGCTAAATGTTGTATAATTTGCAGTCGTTGCTTTAGGAACATGCTAAGTAAGGAAATGCAGTTAAAGAAAGCCTACACCGAACATCTTTATATCTAACAATTTTTTCAATTTTATTTCAATGATTCGCTGGCTTGGCTTCGATTCCCCGCTTCTCCGTGGCCCCCGGCCGCCCCCACCCCCACCCCTTTTGCTAAAGATCTAAAATAGTGCTTTTAGAGATGGGAGAATGCACTTACGATTCTACCAAGTGCGTGAATACATAACGTCACTTGGGGAATGTTCTTTCGTTCCCATAAATCAACTGTCTGGAAAAGTTCATTAGGAGGAACACCATACTTCCTGGCTGCATCACTGAATCGTTCGATATTCTGCATCAAAGCAAAACCTCCACCTTTTTTGTCAATTTTTTTAATACATCCAGGCATCATTTTATTCATAAAACTGCAAAATAGGAAAATAGTTTGCACATTTATTTGCTTTTAAAAAAAAACAAAAAAAAAACAAAACAAAAAACAAAAAAAAAACGTAAAATAAGCACTGACGCTGTGTATAACTCTTTTGTCGACCCATTTATTGGCAGTCTTCGTAAGTAAGGGACGTCATGCATTTTCGGGAAATTTAGGCTTGGACGGCCATATTAACATTTAAGGCAGATAGGTCGGACATTGTCTAATCTGATAGATTAGAGAGAGTTAATCATAAGATTGCCGTGTGAACAAATGTCTAAATAATAATTTATATTCCAAGAAATACGCCCTGCAATTAGACAACGTTAGTGCTGGCCCTGGTCCCAAACTAGATCACCGCACAATAAACTGTCATTTAAAAACTCAAGAAAAAGGAAAAGGAAATGCATGAAGCGTAAATATAATAAATTCAGGGGAGATAAGTATTGAAATACAATACAACATTATTAGGCGGATGCAGACCACTAATTATACACAATGTTAATTTTGTCTCTTTGTCTGGGTCTAAGTTTTTGTCTCTTTATCTGGGTCTAAGTTTTTCTCAAATTGTCGTTGGACTGAACGCTAACCAAAACAGATGGGACAACATCTGACAATGTCTTGGTCCAATTTGAAGTCCGAACTTTGCATTAGATACGGAAACAATATAATACAATATAGAACTCACTTGCAGAGAATAATTCCATCCTTTAAAACATCTTCAAATGGTTTACTTCTATCGATTTTCTCACCCATGATTGCTTCCATCCAGTCCAGAGCCTGTGTCTCCAACTCGGCGTCCCTCTGAAGAAACAATAAACAACGGGTCAACGATTCAGTGTAATTCCCGGGTACACCACCGCCGACAGTTCACATTATAATTACGGTCATTAGAAACAGTGCAATAAAAATAAACACGACATGTATTATATTAGGACCATTACACTACTTCTCGTATTCTACAGTGGTAGGAAGCCACGGTGGTTCAGTGAGTAAGACATTGGCTCGCTACCCTGTTGGTCCGGTGTTCGACGTGTTTCTCTTTGTCAGTGGAGCAGTACCGAAGGACTGGCAAGAGACAACTAATAGCCGTTCGGATGGGACGATAAACCGAGGTCCCGTGCCGTGTATATATTAACGTGTACGTCAAAGATCCCCTGGCAGATGGAATTTGATACAAGAGTACGCCGTAGCGCCGTAGACAAAATTTTCCCCATATTGTATAGCTTACGCCCGTGTTCATTAGCCCAGTCGGAGCAGAACAATAGGACGTTAAACCCCATCCCATTTCATTTCATTTTAATAATCTTGAAGCAATTGCCACGAATTATTGATCATTTCATTGCTTCAATAGTATTGGTCAGTTTGCATGAGGAACAGGAACCACAGTGGCCACAAAACACAATATGTATATCATTAGACGGTTCCGAGGATTATGTCCTATAGATTGTGGATTGTGTCGAACAGCCTAGAGTCGATTTGTACATGTCAAATCCACTAGTTGAGCACAATGTTTATGAAGTAATGCTGATCAGAATTAGGAAAGTGCCTCATCATCATTTCAATTACTTTACTGTTGAAGATTACAATAATAATGGTGCCCATGGATAATTGATATGTGCTATTTCCGAACTACACGAATTCGCCCGGATCCCATAGCCCGGGGTCATAACTATGACACCGGATGCGGTAGGCCATCGCTTCTGTTACTGCCCGGTACGAGCTACCCTTAAACATTAAATGTCAGCCTCGGGTCAGCTCTAGTGTGGCCGCCTACCCTGAATAGACAGACAAACTGCAGTCACAAATATTAATGTAGATGAAACACTTTATATGATGGTGTATGCACCCTTACAGTGGATCCGCCCTATAACCCATAGGTATCGTTTACAGGTAACCATGACTGCCAGAAATACAGCTATATATCTGTTAAAACAGTTGAGAAGCAATTTTAAACCACTAATTGAAAACTCGCCAAGTTATTTCAATGTCATGTAAATTAAAGAAGGTCGTTGTGGTGCATGGTTTATTAATTACTACCGGCAACATTGTTTTAACATGATGTCAGTGTAAACACTTGGTGCATGGTTTATTAATAAGTACTATCGGTAACATTGTTTAAACATGTTGTCAGTTTCTTTACACCACGTACTTTAAGTTATGAGTATAAACGTTTGGTAGTAGGGAGGGGTTATATTGCCTAAATGATGACGCGTGATTTACAAGAAGTGTGTTGATTATAGTAAGGAAGGGACGGTGGGAGCGGCGGGTCAGTAAGAAAGGCGCTGGTTTATTTAACAGGAGGTCCCGGATCTGATGCTGGTCGGAGAGTCTGGCAACGTCTAGTTGTTCGGGTCGGACGAAAAACCTAGGTCCCATGTACATGACCAGTGGCACTTGAAATTCAAAATACGAGTATATATCATATCGCCGCTATTCCTCATGGCTATCTGGCTGGTGTATGTCCGTCTTTATTAAAGCAGTAAAACTTCCAATCTACAAAGAACCGTCTGTTCCGTGTACACATTGACATGTACGTTAAAAATCCCTTGGCAGTTAGGATTAGATATAAGAGTAGGCCGTAGCGGGGAAAATTTCCCTCATAACACGATGTATGACGTAGCCCTGTCTGCATTACCCCAGTGGGAGCAGAACAGTAGGACGTTAACCCCATTTCATTTCACAAATCTGGCAGAATTAAACCCTGACACCGGATAACAGTTCTTATATATTAAATGAACTTTGACCTATACATAGAAATATTCACACGTGTACTATTGCCCAAACTGTTGGCAGCTAGAGGAGATATTGTGGGCGGTATACCATACATATTGATTCCAATACTTACAAGCAATACGTAATACAATCTAGTACTGACGTCAGGTGTGAAGGTCTGTTGTTAATGTATATTTTTACAAGAAAATGTAGTACGTATTTGGTTTAATATAATAGTATAACAACTGATATAAAAACAAGCCAGTATACTATTTGGTTTATATGATATTTATTCACTAAGCTGCATTTGTATTTGTGCGTAATTGGTTTAAACGATATTTATTCTTTAAAGGTGTAGTAGTATATAGCATATCAACGGATACAAAAACAGGCCATTATGCGTATTTCAGTTATTGCGAAATCGTTTGGCATACCTCCATTTAAACATACATTATTCAAGAGCTAAATCTGCCGATTGCAGGTCTTTCTTTAGACCTGAAATGTTATCTAACTTATTGATTAGACATCTATTAACATGACAAACCATAATCAACTCTCAATGTCATTGGATGGGTCCGATTTTTATTAGAATTGAAGCTGATCTGCTTTGTTTATTATCGTTACAACGGTAACAATGACAACCGAGACTACAATGTTATTAAAATGAGAATTTCGCGGCTAACAGTGAAGTAATTTGACCGACATATTCAGCATATCCCTGTAAGTTTTAATTATCTATTATTTAACTATTATAGTGACAACTGTCAGTTCTTTATATAATCTTCCATAATGTATCTTTAAATTTATAATTTTATAATTTTACACAATGCATCTTTAAAATTGATCGGATCATGAAGGGCAACAGAACGGAAATAATAATACAAACATTTATTGATATTAGAATATTTGATCAAATCAGTCGTATCATTTTTTTTAAAAAAATAAACTATAACATGCTTATAGAAAACAGCTACTCAAATTTCAAATATAAAACATGTATATATAACTGTTATCAGTTATTAAATATCAGTATATTACTGCAAACTAAAGTGTTATTTTTGGAAGTAGAGAGGGTTTATACTCAGTTGAGTTGTTGGAATAAAATTTGTAATAATCTGTGGATGTAGAATCAGTTAAAGATGCATTATGTAAGATTAAGACGCCCCATTACAACGACTTCGCTCCTTGATTTTAAAATGCTGAATATTAGGATCCTGGATTTTCATTGTAAGATAAAAACACCAGATCCATATTAGAAACCCGGGTGTGGGATAATAACACCAATATTGATTGAAATGAATTAAATATTAAATTATGTATACTCTCAGGTAAAAGATTTGGCCACTTTAACGTATTAGTAAATTTATAACAATATACCTGGGGGGGGGGGCGGGGGGGGGCGGGGGGGGGGGGTGCTAATAACCCTATAGGTACGGTACACATTAACCCGTCGTATCTAATATAGTATTACACAACACTAACTAAAACGTTAGAAAACATTTGAAGGACGGTTTCAGAATATCAAGTCATATATGCAATAAGACTGTAAGTACAGAAACTTATACAGAAATGTATTAAACCATAGAATCATACCACATGGTGCCATTATAATATGCAACACTAACTAAAATATTATTTGGGGAAGTGAACACAATAAGGTTTAGATATATAGATATCAAAAAGGGAATTGAAATGTTAATAACCCCTGTAGGTGAAATGAAATGAAATGAAATGGGGTTTAACGTCCTACTGTTCTGCTCCTAACCTGGGCTAATGAAGACGGGCCCTGTAGGTACAGCAGCGTATTAACCCATCGTGTCATACTACATGGTGCCATTATAATATAGTATACGATATAAATAACGATTGTAGAAGAAGATGTTCTTCATTTGGCGCTGACATTTCTCACATTACATACCTTCCTCTCACTAACCAACATTTCAAGCACGTTTTGATCTTGTAGTAACACCTTATGGTCATCAATTGATGGCAACTGCTGGGTGTGGTGATATAAACCAGGTGTTCTACAGTTATCGTATATACATGAACAGATTACTACAGACCGAATTTTAACCTCATGGTTAATGTAAGCTAGAGTCTTACTAACTGAACCACCGCGGTTCCCTATTCTTCATGTAACAGAAATGAAATCAGGTTTAACGTCCTACTGTTCTGCCCCGACTGATTAAGGCGGGTATAAGCCATACAGTGTGCTATGATGGGAAATTTTGACCGAAAAGCGGCGCTGCGGCCTACTCCTATATCGAATTCCAACTGCCAAAGGTTATTTTACGTGCACACTAATATGTACATTGGGCCTCAGTTTGTCGTCCCATCGGAATGACTACGCGTTATCACTTGCTAGGCCCCCTGTCCTGCACCACTGAGAAACCTAAGATAGATTGACATATGACCATATATTCTATACTGAACCGGCCAATTGTACGTATGTATATTAATTTTATACAGCTAATTATTAGATAAAACCTCGACCGTTCTATTAGATTTATTAGTTGATGTCTCGTTCCATTATCACGAAGAATTTTATACACGTTACTTGTCTATCTGGTTTTACATTCCTGAAACTCTCTGCTCCCTTTACAAGAAAATGAGGTAGGCCTACACCAGGGCTAATGAAGATGTCCGGACCTTGAACGCAGGACCTTTTGGTTATAGAATCAGCGTCTTACTCACAGATGAACCTGCCCCCCACCACCTCCTGTTAAACAAGGATTGTCGTAAATCTATACATAGGGGGGAGGGTGGCCGAATGGATGGCACGTGCGCGCTGTATCCTAAGGTCTGTCATTGAGTTAACTGGCGTAGTTTCGATTCCTCGGTTGTACGTGACAAGGAGTAGGATCACCTGTCCAACTTCGTTGGTTTTCTCCGACTCCTCCGGTTTCCTACAACTGCAAAAGACACTACGCGCAAGCAAATTATTGAAATAAAATTGAACCATATGTTAGTCCTGAAATGACCTAGTTTTTGTCGAATGGACTTTAAACCCCATTTCTCTCTCTCGCTCTCTCTCTCTCACACACATCTATACATAAACCTGTATATCCTTACACCAAGGCAATCTAACG